CATTTTTAAGGGGATAATTAAAAAAGGTTTATTAGGTATGTTAACTAATGTAATTCTAATTTTGTGTTTCAATGGGCTGGTTATTGGGCTACTTACTTTACCATCTTACCTTTTTGCTAGCTACAATTAAAGAGCCCTATAGGTTCTCCAAACAAATATGTATGTACATGTTTTGAATTTTTGTATATTTATGTCTTGGATTTGAGATCTTATATATTTTAGGATAAATTACACTGACACCTCCTGAAATTTATGTTTATTACAGTTCTCCCCTCACATTTTGAAAATTACATCTCCCCCTGAAGTTTAAAGTTTCATTACAGATTCCTGCCTCAGCAATTTAATTTTTTTAAATACCAATTTTGCCCTCGTTGGGTAAATTACATTGACACCCCTCACATTTTAAAAATTACAATCTCCTCCCTAAGATTTAAAGTAACATTACCAATTGCCCCATCGGTTAGTATTAGTTGGAAAAAAATTCATTCAAAAAAAAATTAATTAAAAAAAAATTTGTTAGTAAAATTTTTAAATTTTTGTTTAAAAACCAACGTAAACCCATTTTTTGAATTTACGATTTTCCTCAAATTTACAAAATGTGACAACCATTTATAAACTAAAAAAATTATCAAACAAGTTTTATGACAATTTTTAAAATTTTTGAAAATATAAATTGAAAATGGAAAACAAAATAGTTACCAAATAGGTCTTAGATGGTAAAAATGTCGTAAAATTAACAAATAATTAAATAAGTTACCAATGTAAGAAATGACTTATCAAAAGATTCTTAGGCCATGTATGGTTTGATTTTTAGAATTTGTTTTAAAAAAATTAAAAATTAATTTGGTTAAGAAATAAAAATTTAAAAAATAATTATCATTTAAGGGTAAAAAATAATTATCATTTTAATTTTTGAGCAGGTTATATACATGCATATAGTTGTTTCAATTTAATTTGCAAAAAAATATTTTTAATCACTCAAAAGATAAAAAATTATATAAAAATGATAATTATTTTTTTATTTTTTATTTCTTAACCAAATTAATTTTTAATTTAAAAAAAAATATTCTACAAATTAAACCATACATAGCCTAAGAATCTTTTGATAAGTCATTTCTTACGTTTGTAACTTATTTTGTTAATTTTACGATATTTTTACCATTTGAAACCTGTTTGGTAACCATTTCGTTTTCAGTTTTTAATTTATATTTACAAAAATTTTAAAAACTGCCATAAAAACTTGTTTGATAATTTTTTTGGTTTATAAATGGTTTTCCCAGTTTTTAAATTTGAGAAAAAATCGTAAATTCAAAAAATGAGCTTACGTTGGTTTTTAAACAGAAATTTAAAAATTTTACTAACAAAATTTTTTTTCAATTAATTTTTTTTTAAATAATTTTTTTTCCAACTAATTTTTTTTTTCAACTAATACTAACCGAGGGGGTAATTGATAATGCTACTTTAAACCTTAGGGAGAGGATTGTAATTTCTAAAATGTGAGGGATGTCAATGTAATTTACCCAATGAGGACAAAATTAGTATTTAAAAAAATTAAATTGCTAAGGGGAAAATCTGTAATGAAACTTTAAACCTCAGGGGGGAGATGTAATTTTCAAAAGGTAAGGGAGGAACTGTAATAAACATAAACCTCAGGGGGGTGTCAATGTACTTTACCCTATATTTTATATATGTATATGTGTATGTAGCAATTTTATATATTCTTTCAATTCTATTTAATGAATTACGGAATAACTTATTTTTTATGTTGTATTTTTTTTCTCCTCATTCTACTGGTTTTCGTATGCTTGTATGGGCAAATTTATTATTATTGCAAATTTACATTAGTAAAATATTAATAATTAGTATTTTTTACTTTAAAAATTAATTAAGTTAGTTTGAATAATTGCTAAAATAAAAAATTTAGTTAGAAAACACAATAGATAAAGTAATTAAGTAAAATAAAATAAAATAAAATACTTTAACTAATAAAAAGTAAAGAATGTGATTAAAATTGCTCTAAAAAATTATGATCACAAATTATTTTACTCAACAGTAATGCTAGGAACTCCCGGTGAGGGTGACCCCCAAAAGCACCCCCACCTTCACATGGGCAAGTGAAGTAAGACAAAAAAAATAAAAAATAAAAAAATAATAGAAAAATAAATTTTAACCAATGAAAAATCAGTGGGGTGCTGGGTTCACGAGGTTCAAACCATTTTTCTTTGAAAAATGCTTGGGAGCACTAATTAGTGCTCCCACTAATTAGGTAGCAGTGGGTCCTGCCATTAATGATGTGATGTTTTGGTCTTAGAGTTGTATTTTTTTTTTTTTTACTTTTTTAATACATTAATACTATTAGTGGTGATGTTTTTAGTGGAATGAATCATTGTTGTTTTTCTTTTAGTCATTACAAATCCCGATGGGAAAATCACATCCTTGAGTGAGCGCTAGTTGCATTCTTTCCTATGGCCACCTCGTAATTTTAACAAAATGACAATTTTATATATTTATTTGTTTAATTAGTAGTTGCTCAATAATATTTAAGGTTATTTTGAGAAGATATTTAAAAATTAATTTTTAAATTTTTAAAAAATTTAAAAAAATATATATTAAAAATATAAAAAATAATATGACTTAAAATAAATTAAAAATTGACTTTTGACTACTTAGGCCTCGTTTGGGAACAGGCTAATTTAGTAACTTTTTGGCTATTTGGCTAAAAAGGTAGGTAAAAAAAACTTGTATGTTTGGGATAACTTTTTTGCTAATTACGAAAAGATGTGCAAAAAGTAGAGAGAAAAGAGAATCTTTGACTTTTTGGCTAATTTAGTAGCTTTTTGGCTAATTGGCTAAAAAAGTAAGTCCCCAAACGGGGCCTTAGTCCCAACAATTTTTTGAGCCCCAATTTGACATTTGTTGTGGGGCTAAGGCCTCGTTTGGGAACCTTCCGTTTTAGCTAAAAAGTCAAAAAGTTATTAAATTAGCCAAAAAGTCAACAATCCATACCAAAAAGTTAAAAATTCTCTTTTCTCTCTACTTTTTGTACATTTTTTCGTAAAAAGCCAAAAAGTCATCCTAAACATACTAATTTTTTTTAGCTCATATTTTAACCAAATAGTCAAAAAGTTATTAAATTAGCATGTTCCCAAATGAGGCCTAAATAATCACATATAAAAAAAATAAAAATAAAAAAGAAAACTAAAATATCATAAAATGCTAAAATACAAAATTATCAAATTGACCCATCACTATAACAAAATTTGTCTATACCCACGTTTTTTAGACAACGTTTATTTGAAAAACGCTGTGGAAGACAAAAAAGTGAAATTAAGACACGTGTGTTCCACTTTAAACGGTGCTCCGTCTCCCTCTGCTTCCATTTCTCTTTCCGTCATTTTGTTTTCTCTCTCCGTTTCTCTCCATCTTTTTCTCTCTCCATCCTAGATCTAGGGTTTTCTCTGTCTCCTCATGCTCCTTGAGAGATGCACCAGGGTTGATTCCGATCACTTGTTCAGATCTAATTCTAAATCCATTGATTCTTGCATTCATTTGGTTGAAATTTCTTGATGGTTTTATTTTTCTTGATTCTGATTCTAATGACTTTGCAGAGGAAGATGGTTCGGTTGAGTTGCACAAATCGGCGGGGTTACGAGACCGAGGAGTGAAGAAGGATCAGGATCATCGGGATCGAGACAGGGACCGGAACCGAGACCGAGACCGATTGAGTCGGAGCAAGAGGAAACCAGCTGATGAAATGATTGGCTTTTCTGTTCCAAGGAAAGCTTGAACAGGTGTGGATTAGACTATTCTGAATCGCCTATTTTGTATTGAAAGGTTGGTAAATTTTGCTAATCGATGGGGTTGGATACGCTCTGCCTGTTGAAGCTCCTCCTCAGGTCTGGTCCTCCCGTCGCTACTATACCTCAGGTCATATCTCTCTCTCTCTCTCTCTCTCTCTCTCTCTCTCTTGCTCCATCAGATCTTCGATCTGGCCTCTCTTCAGTCGAGTTTTACTCTTTTTAGTCTTTTCACTTGCTATTTTTGGTCTGCTCTTTTTTCAATAGAATCTCATTCACTTTGATCTTTTTGTTTTTCAGTCTCACTATTTTCAATTTTTTCAATCTGTGTTTGTATATTGGTAGAACATAATTTATGTTTGTATATTGGTGGAACAATGCCTTTTATTTTGCAGCTTGGCAACTACAATTCCTTTGAGGGGTTCTGTACTGCAGGCCACACTTCGATCAACTCTTCAAAAGAGCCGGTAGTCTCGACAAAAGCTTTGAAGGTAAACCCAAGTTTTAAATTTTTATTTATTTTATTTAGTTCAGGTTTTCACAGTAGCCCAAATGCTTACTAATTTTCAGATCAAGCAAATTTCTTACCTTTTCAACTTTTAGGTACACCATAAATTGTGAAACCAGAAAAACCTATTGATAATGAGGTACTTGTCCTGAAATCTAGATGCTTGCATATATATAATATATTTTATAAGAGAAACTTGATGATTTGAATTACAGATTACAAACCTTTTTTTCATACTCCTCTCACCTATTTATATTTACTTTTGGTACATGTAAGAGAATGAAATTAGTTGTGAGTTGATCTCCAGTTTTACTCTGTTTCGTAGTTGCAAAACAGATCACAACAAAAGAGTTTCTCTACTAACTGATTAACTACTAGTTTGTTTGGCATGTCAATTATGGGATTTATAGGACAATTATTTTGGTGAATTATTGGGTTTGAATTGAGTAGAATTCTGCCAAAATGTGTGGCCAAATTTGTATTGGCTTCTCCCATCCTTTGCTTTTTAATGGCTTTCACAAGCTGCTTAAGTTTTGTGTTCTTCTTTGTAGATAGTGAAATCATCTTCTACTTTAATCATGATTTGACAGGTCATTTAATTGAAAGACGTGGCTTCAATGAATGCAGATGAGCAACACAACGAGCCAAAGAGCTCTTATTTCAACTTACCAGCATTGGATGTTTCCATTGCATTACCCCAAGCTACTCCGGCTTCCATCTTTCCTCCTTGCAGTAAGGTTGATAAATTTTATTCTTATAGAGATTTACGATATATTTTTTTGTTTTGTTTTAAGGTTGGGTGTATGATTTTTGAAATACTTGCATACATACATATGTTGATATTATGCTGATGTATGTTTGAAATTATAACCAATAGTCGTATTCTTATGGGTGATGGATGATGAGGTCTTTGATACTTTCTTGGTTTATCAACAACAGCACTAGCAGGATCTGAAACACAGAAGCAGAAATATTTACCTTCATTGGCACAATTAAAAACCATAGGTTCTTGGGTAAGGATTTGTATTTTTTTTGCTTTAGCATGTGTCTAGATTCCTAATATTACATCAATGGCTGTCTCTGCTGCAAGCATGTAGCAATGATCTTTTATTCACACAACAGGGTTTGACTGAGCCTGGCTATGGAAGTGATGCAAGTTCTCTAAAAACAACAGTGACAAAGGTCCAGCACCTTAAACCTCTATACAATTATTGATCTTGTAGAGCTGATCATGCTTCTTTTTTGCTTTTAGCTTCCAAATTCTGTTTACTGTCTATATCACCTTCTTGGCATCTTATTCACGTGCTCTGCCTTCTATATTTTGGGATAATCAAGTTGCAGGAGATTGGATCCTTGAAGGTCAAAAGTGCTAGATAGGTGATGTAGACGGGTGATGGTGGTGACTTGTGCACTCATTGTTTCTAAATTATCCCTGAAACGTCAGAGATTTCTTTGTTTGTTCTTCAAAACAATATATATATATATGTGTGTGTGTGTGTGTGTGTGTGTGTGTGTGTGTGTGTTTCTAGATAATTGTATGGCATGATAATTTCTTTGTTTTTCTTGGTGTTTCAAATATTTGGACTGTGAGTGTCTTGAATTCAACCCAAATGATGCTTATCACTTGTTATTACTATTATTTTTTTATGTATAATCGATTTTTATTGGGTAATTTGATTCACTAGATGATGATTGCATGTGTGTCTGTGGTTTTGTTTGCTAAGAGATGGATAAGGAGAATAAAAGGAATGGCTTTGTTTGTTGATAGATGATGTTTCTATTTGTTAAAATTGTTGTTATACCTTGTCAAGTCAAAACTTTCATAGCCATTTCTCATCTCTGATGCACATTTGAAAGTCTTTCCACTTTACCATAAGTGCTTGCCGTTTTCAATTGCTTCACTTGTGCTTCTGTCTTTATTGGTGGAGATGCAAAGTTACCTTTCATTGGGTACCAGACTGATTTCAAGCTGTTTTGTCAGACTAGAAAATGTTAAAAAAGTTAAACTATGTTTATATTGTTGTAGATGTCCCAGAACGCCCCGGGAGGGTGAGTCCCGTTCTGTTCATTTGGGGTCACTACAGCTCAGGACTCTCAATTGTCACGGTTCTAAGTCTGAACCAAAGAGTCCAAATCTGACAAATCGTTTTGAGAAAATTAACTTTTTTAACATACTAATGTTTTGATGTCTAAATTAACTGTTCTTTTTTCTTATGACACTACACTCTGTGGAGAGGTTTGCTCAGTTGGTGTGTACTGCTTGAGTATTCATGGTTGTCTAGGCATGTTGCATATTAAAAATCATGCCCACTTGATTATGTCATTTGCCACATAAAAATGTGATGGTTAGTTTTGTGAGCTTGACAGGTTTCATTTGACACCATTTCACAATAAACACAAATTGTATTTCACTGTGTTATAATAGGCTTTTTCCACAGGTATTATTGGGTATCACACTTCCTGAATTAGATGTATTGGACACTTTTGGTCAAAAGCATTCTGGTGGAGAGGGTTCCATTCCAGCTTCAACTAGCGACAATAGTACTGCAGCTGCTTACAAAGATCCTCAGATATCAAACCATGGGTACTTATATCCTTTTTTTTATTTTTTCTTTTCCTTTCCCCAATAACTGTGAAGACTATTGAGTTCTTTTTATGAATTTCTATGTTCAGTTCTAGTTGGTGATTTTGCAGGTTGATATGCTATTTTACTGATGCTTTATTTTGGTTTTGACTTCATAATTTCTTTTCACTAAATAGTAGTGCCACAAAGAAGAAACGAGTATCAAGAATCATTGGTGGGGGTCTGCACCAGTTCAGTATCATAAGTTAGCAATTTCTTTTATATAGACTTGATTGATTCATGCATATTTTATAGCATCAGGTTCTATTCTAATGTATGCTTAATTAAATCATTCCATCAATGAAGCTTGTCTATATTAATCTTTTAATTAATTAATTATTATTTTTATTTCTGAATAACGGTATATAAAATTGCCATGTGAAGGCAGTCACTTGTTTAAAATAATACTAAGGTTAGGTTTGGGTAACGACCTTTAACTTTTAGATGAATCTATGCATTGAGTAATATTAGTGAGGACAACTCTACAACTATATTTAATTACTCTTGTTTTGGTAAAAATTTGAATCTTCTTCAATTGTTTCTCAGTTTGTAAGAAAGTGGAGAGCAAGGGAAAAACCACATACAGTGAGGTATTTTTTCTTTCTTTCATCCCTTTCCCTCTTTCCTTGTCTTTCTCTTGTGACGCAGATTTTAAAGCTTGGTTTGCTAAAGGTAAAAAGAAGCACTAGGGAAGAGAGTCGAGATTTTGCCATGCTAATAATCATTTCAGTGTAGTTCCCATGTAAATTGATAAAGTACTATTTTTCATTGCGTGCAATTGCTTGGAAAGAAAAAAAATGTGATTCACACCAATAGCAACCAACTATATGTAGATGATTTGGCTTTTGATTTTGTGAAGCTAAAAGAGATTATCTTAAAAATATCATTCTGCATCCTAAAAGTGTTTTGTAGTTTCTATAACATTGGTCATTCAACTCTTGGTTTATTTTTTATTTTTTGCTGAGTTACCTCGATCATGGTCCTTCAAAAAACGGGGAAAAGACACCCTTTGATGGCTTGAAGTTTATTCTATTTAATCTTTGTTACCCTGCAGCCCATCATGCTTTATGCTTGTCACTAGTATATTTTGATACAATTCCTGTTTGGGAGTCTAAAACTTCAAGCTAACTATTTTATAGCTTTGGTTTTATGATGTTTGTTGTATATGTACCATTCAATCTAGTTATGTTTATCCAGTTTTCTGAAATTTTATTTTAGTTCCAACAAAAACAACCTAAGGTGCAAGTTAGACTTGCCAAGCCTTTAAACTCCAATCGAAATGGAAACCCAGGGCAATTTAGAATTAACAGGTTGTGTTGATTATGTGTGCTCTCATTTTCATTTTATTTTTGATCAGGGTGTTATGAAGATAATTAGTATCAACCAACAGACTTATGTTGGTTGCAAAGTAAAGATTGGATTGCAAATTGGTTTGCACAGTTGAACAACAAAATGGGGGATGATTTGAAGAAAATTCAAACTGAGTGCATGATTGAGATTTGGAAAGTTGTAGGGTTAAATCTCCAAGGAGATAAAGTGAAATTTTTAGTCTTCAATTTTGCATTATAATTCAAAATTGAGCCAATCTGTGTTCTTAGTTAATTTTCAATCTTTGTTCCTAGTTAAATTTATATAAATTTTCAGCTAATTCTCAATGTCTCTCTAGTTAAATTCTCAATTAATTGGGCTTTCTGTTCTTTAAAAAAAAATGGTGTTTTTTTAAAAAAAAGTCGCTAAATGAAGTCATCATGACATCATATTTGAAGCAAGTATGAAAATGAAGAAAGGTGGCGTTTTGTGAAAAAACGCCACTAAATGACGTCAGCATCACACAGAAAAGTTAGCGGTGTCAAAGATTTGGCGGCGTCACCTAATGTTTTTCGCGACGTTTTAGAAGCGTTGCTAAGCTATTGCGGCGGCGGTACTACGACGAAAATCGTAAACGTCGTAAAATCTTGTTGTGATGTTCTCAGTTCTATAGCAGCGTTTTTTAAATGCCGCTAAAAGTCAATTTTCCTGGAGTGAAAAAGCATCATTTCCAAGTAAAGGGCAATTTTGTCATTTCACTTTGGAAACATCATTTCCAATGCAAAAATGCCAAACTAGAAAACCAAATAAATAAAAAAGTCTCAAGTTAAAAATTAAAAAAACTAAAAAAATCAACTAAAAAAGTCATTGCCAAATAAGCCCTCAATTTTGTTGCATTATACTTCGGGCATGTTTGTTTGGACGGACTGGATAAAGGAATTGTAATTTATCGAACTGTTAGTCCTGGGATACATTGTCCCCGAATTATTTGGTTGGACTAGATTTGTATCTTATATTTGTTTAGTCATGGAATTAGATGTCTAAATTTGATTATTTTTAATGAATCCAATATATGGTTGGATGGGCTGGATAAGAATAAATGTTCAAAAGACTATTTAAGCCTTGTAATTTATAATTTATAATTTAACAACACTAAAAAAATTTAATTTATAAGGCCATAATTTTTAATTTATTATTTTCAATTAAATTAAATTTATAATTTATATTTTTTATTTAATATATAATTTTAAATTAACAACACTAAAAAAATAATTTTATTTAATATATCAATTTAATTTTTTAACAACACTAAAAAAAATTAATTTATAAGGCCATAATTTTTAATTTATTATTTTTAATTAAATTTAATTTATAATTTATAATTTATATTTTTATTTAATATATAATTTTAAATTAACAATATAAAAAAATAATTTATAAATGTTCAAAAGACTATTTTACCATTTTCTAATTGTTTACTAAGTAATAGCATGATGGACATTTCACACATTAATCCCATAGGATACCAATCCCATGGAAATAATCTCACCTCTCCCCCTAGGATATAATAATTAGGGGTGAGCATGGTCCGGATTGGACCGGATTGGGGTAAAACCAAGACCAATCCGTTATCTACGGTTCTTGAAAAATTAAAACCAATCCAATCCGTTTAAATCATGGAACCAATCCGAACCAATCCATTTAAATACGGATTGGATCGGTTTAGGACCACGGATTCACATAATTAAATAATAAAAAAAAATATATATATATAACACTTTAATTTCATAAAAATATAAATATAGCGCTATATCATTTCCATAATAGCAACATGTTTTTCTATAATAGTGACATATTGTTCTTGAATTTAAACAACTATAAGAAAATACAAACAAAAGTAATAAAATAAGATATTATACGGTTTTAGGTTTGAGTTTAGATTTTATATAGAATAAAAGAAGATACTATGGGGAAGGATATACAATAAAAATATAGACTATTTATATACGGTCCGGATCGGTTCCAATCTGGAACCGCGGGGTTCAATCCGGAACCAATCCGTGGATTACGGATTTTTAATTCTTCAATCCGGAACCGAACCGCGGATTCAAAAAACTAATCCAAACCTATCGGATTGGACTGGACTGGATCGGATTACGGATTTCACGGATTCCTTGCTCAGCCCTAATAATAATCCCTCATATGAGGGACTAATAGTCCGAAGAAACTATTAGTCCGGAGCAAAAAAATTAAACCAAATAACGGACTATTAGTCTAATCCCATGGCCCAATCCTTCAAAACAAATACCACCTTCATGTATTGGGATGTTTGTCAAAGTAAGATTGAAGCCATTGTACGAGTGAAATGATGGATACTGTAATCAGGTTTTTAAGAAATAATTATGAATTAATAAAAAAATTATAAATATTAAAAATTATAATTATAATTATAATTTTTTAAAAAAAATTAGGCAATTACAGGATTTGATTGTGTATTGTATTTAGTAACATAAAATGAAAGGTTTAGTTAACGGGTGCCCTAATGGAATTGGTTAACCATGTTTAAATTAATTGTACATTATATGTTACATGCACTCGCATGCATTATGTACAAGTATCTCAAATTTCTTATCAAGTACCTTAAGGACACTCATCAAAAAAAACTCTAAAATAAAATGTACAAAGCTCAATTAAAAAATAAAATAAAATAAATTTATTTAATTTTAATTTGAAAAAATTAGTGAAATATTTCTCTCCAACTTTGGATAGTAGGAGAAATCCAATATGTTTTTTTTATTAGATAAAGTTTCTCGATGAAATTTCTCTGTGATCATATTAGAGAAATATTTATCAGTGAAATCAAAGAAATTTTTAAAAAAATTTTGTGTCATGGAAAAATTTCTCTGTGTCAAATTTTCTCTATGAAAATGTTGAGGAATTCTAATTACTATGAAAATATTGTATATCATTTATCTTATAAAATTTTAATTCGACCTTTAAAAAAGTTTCCCTATTGATGTTTATTTATTTAATTTTTTTAATAAATTTTTATAGATATTTTATTTGAAATTTTGGTTGATATTTTATTTAATTTTATTATTTAATATTTTTATATTAAAAAATAAAAATATTAAATAATAAAATAAATTTATTTAAAATTTTATTAAAAAATAACATAAATTTTTATTTATGTTTTATTTATTTAATTAAAAAATCATTTATTTAATTTTCAAAAATAAAATTGAATAATTTTTTATTTAATCTAGCCAAAAAAAATTAAAATATCAAAGACAAATTTAGTATTGCTATTATTAGTAAACAATTGGCAAGGGTAAAATAGTTTGGGAAAATTATTTATAAGTCTTATTAAGGAGATTTATACTACATATGGTTCTACTAAAAAACTTATGTTCCCATAAGTCCTGTGTGAAGTTTGTTAACACATTTACCCTCAATATTAGTTGTTAATATCATAAATAATGGTAAAATCATATATAAGAAATTGAATGTTACCAGTTTGTGAAACGTAGCGTGACACCTACATAAATGTAATGTAACGTGACCATATCAGATGGGACATTATATAAACGTAACATGACGTGACACCTACATAAACGTAACGTAACGTGACACTTACAT